TCAGCATCATCATCATCATCATCATCATCATCATCATCATCATAATCATCAGCATCATCATCATCAGCATCATCATCCTCATCAGCATAATTAGCATCAACATCATCACTACCACCATTACCACCACCACCACCACCACCACCATCATCAGCATCATCAGCATCATCATCATCACCACCATCATCATCAGCATCATCATCATAATCGGCATCATCAGCATCGGCATCAGCATCACCACCAACACCATCAGCATCAGCCGCCTCATCATCATCATCCGCATCGCATTATCACCATCAGAATCATCACCATCAGCATCAGCATCATCATCACCATCATCATCAGCAGCAGCATCTCCATCATCATTATCAGCATCATCATCATCATCATGCTCATGATCAGATTCATCATCATCATCATCGCCATCGCCATCGCCATCATCATCATCATCATCATCATCATCATCATCATCATCATCAGCAGCAGCATCAGCATCAGCATCAGCATCAGCATCAGCAGCATCATCATCGTAATCATCATCCTCATCCTCATCCTCATCCTCATCCTCATCCTCATCCTCATCCTCATCGGCATCGGCATCGGCATCGGCATCAGCATCAGCATCATCATCAGCATCAGCATCAGCATCAGCATCAGCATCAGCATCAGCATCAGCAGCATCATCATCGTCGTAATCATCATCCTCAAATCCTCATCCTCATCCTCTCCTCATCCTCACCTCATGCCCATTCGGCAATCGGCATCGCACGGCATCAGCATCAGCATCACACAGCACACAAGCAGCATCAGCATCACATCAGCATCAGCAGCAGCATCAGCATCATCATCATCATCATCAGCATCATCTCTCAGCATCATCATCATCACCTCATCCATCCCACCCCGCCTCTTCCTGCCCTCCTCCTCCCTCCCTCCTCCCGCTCCCTTCTCCCACCCTCCGTCCTCCATCCTCCGTCCTCCTCCTCCTCTCCTCCTCCTCCTCCTCCCTCCCCTCCCCTCCCTCCCTCCCTCCCTTCCCACCTCCTCTCCACCTCCGCCTCCGCCTCCCATCCACCTCCTCCCCGCGTCCTCTCCTCGGGTCAGCGTCCCTCCTCCTCCGCCTCCTCCTCCTCCGTCCTCCTCCTGCCAGTCCTGCTCCTGGGACTCCCCCCCCTCCTCCTCCTCCTCCTCCTCCCCTCCTCCTCCTCCTCCTCCTCCTTCCTCCGTCCTCACCTCCTCCTCCTCCTCCTCCTCCTCCTCCTCCCTACCCCCTCCGCTCCCGCTCCTTAGCCTCCTCCTCCTCCTCCCCTCCTCCTCCCCTCCTCCTCCTCCTCCTCCTCCTCCTCCTCCTCCTCCTCCTCCGTGCTGCTGGACACCGACTGGCGCCCAGAGTCGCCTCAACGATGGGTGCGGCCTACGGGGCCTGACTCCGTCGACGAGTGGTTCATCCCTGGGCCCGACGACGACGGCTTCGCGGTCGCCGACGCGTCCGAGCTGCTGGAGGACATGATCGCGGACTTCCGTCGGCGCATGTGGCAGCGGGCCGCCCTGCATCCGGCTGGCGAGAGCCTCGTCCAGCGGGAACTCCAGACGTTCATGGCCAAGGGCGCGCTGGACCAGTGGTCGCAGTCCATCGTCGTGGTCAGCGGCGGTCAGTGGACTCGGGAGCGCCAGCAGGAGGCAGGCTACGACTCGGAGGTGCTGTGTCAACGGTGCCACGCCGATAAGGAGACCTTATTTCATCGAATTTGGAGCTGCCCGTGCAACACGGGCCATGCAGATTTTGAGGCAAGTGATTGCTTGGCCGCTCGAGCCCGAGCGGGCTGGGAGCAGGACCCTGCCTTGTGGCTGCGAGGTGTCTGCCCCGTCGGCTTGACCACGCCGACGTTCGACGAGAGCCAGGCGGAGTGGGTCGAGCACAGCGGGGACCCCCTCGACAGCTGCAGGACCGAGCGCGACCAGGTGCTCGACATTTTCGGCGACGGCTCGGGAGCAGCTGCCGTGGTTCTTCGACCAGACGGAGAATCGTGGGCTCCAGCAGGCATCGTGGCGGGCGGCCTGCGCGGGCCCAGGCAGACAGTGCCGAGGGCCGAACTCCTCGCGCTGGTGTTGGCCCTCGAGAATTCGACAGGGAAGATCCGTTTTCACTCCGACTGCCGATCGCTGTTGGACGGATGGAATGCACAGAGGTACAGAGCTTGCATCGGTAGCAATGGCGACCTTTGGGTCCGTGTTCGATCGGCCTTAAGCTCCAGGGGGTCCGACGCCAGTGATGTGGAGATCCGTTGGGTGCCCAGTCATCTCGACGATGATTTAGAGCGAGTCGATCGTGAGGGATTGCACTTTGTAGCTGTAGGCAATGTCTGTGCCGATAAGGCGGCTGGGGGTGCGGCCCTCCGGGCCAGCCGGTGCATCGTCGGCGATGCGCCTCGTACCGACGAATGGGATGCCATCGCTGCCCTCGTCCGGAGGAGGGCCCGCCGTGCGCTCACGAACACGATTTCCCAGGATCCGTGGAATGCCACTCGTGTCGAGCGCACCCGCCCGCCGACCCAATCCCGTCTCCAGCGTGCGTTGAGAAAGAGCCCGCATTCCTGGGAGAAAGTCCAGGGACGTTGGCTCTGCGTCCGCTGCCGCCTCCTGGTCCTCTCGGTCCGAGTTTTGGACGCCGCCGACTCTCCGTGCAACCCTCCCCCGTCGAGCGCGGGGGGGGGGCCTGGTTTCCCAGGGGGTGTCTCGGCGGTTCAGGGGCCAATTTTGTCTGGAGGCGCGGACGTGCACGCCTCACACTTAATGCAGAGTTGGCCTCAGTGTTCGCTGTTTTTCTGTTCGGTCTGCGGTAAAACCGCCTCCACCGACTTTCGCCATCTCTGCAAGCCGTGTGAGCCATCGCGAAAGGGTGCCGAGAACCTTTCGCGAATTCGACGTGGCCTCCACCCATGCCCCCAGGGAGCGCCGAAGGCCGTTTTAGCGGCCCAGAAGGTCCTCACAGGAGGGACTTCGGGTTCGTCAGGGCAGGGTGGGGCCTCGTTGTAGGTGTAGGGAGGGACATCGCGTCCCCAGGCTCCTTACTCCTTACTCCTCCTCCTCCTCCCTCCTCCCTCCTCCACCTCCCTCCTCCCTCCTCCCTCCTCCCTCCTCTCTCCTCTCTCCTCCTTCCTCCCTCCTCTCTCCTCCCTCCTCCCTCCTCCCTCCTCCTCCTCCCTTCTCCCTCCTCTCTCCTCCTCAAACGGCTGTCTTCCAACGAAGCAATTCCCCTCAATGGAAATGAACCGCTACAGGGGCCTATGAGGAGGGAGCTTGGAGGGAGGGTTAATTCCAACATCGTTGATGACTCTTGGGTTTCCACTGGTCCTCCTCCTCCTCCTCCTCATCATCATCATCATCCTCCCTCCTCCTCCTCCTCCGCCTCCTCTCTCCTCCTCCCTGTTCATCCTCCTCCTCCTCCTCCTCCTCCTCCTCCTCCTCCTCCTCCTCCTCCTCCTCAGCATCATCATCATCACCCTCACCATCATCAGCATCATCATCATGATAACTTTTTTTCGTTCGGCGGAGAACAAAATTCTGGAAACGAAAGCTTGCTGCGATCAGCGGGAAGCCCCTCCAAAGTTTTGGGCAAAGGCCCGTTGGGCCTCATCAGAAGACACTTCAAACCGCCCCTACGGGAAACCCCTGCAGGGCAGGGTGGGCTGGGCGAACCAAGTCGGCCTCGGAGACGCAGCTGCAAGAAAGGCGAGCACGCGGGGGCTGACACTGCTGCTGCTATTCAAAGACACGACATCCCACTCCTCTCCAATCGTGTCCGCGCACGCACCCCCATGATAACTGTTTCGTTCGGCGGAGAACAGAGTTCTGGAAACGAAAGCCTGCTGCGATCAGCGGGAAGCCCCTCCAAAGCTTTGGGCAGAAGCCCGTTGGGCCTCATCAGAAGACACTTCAAACCGTCCCTACGACAAACCCCCAAGTCCCCATATAAGGGGTGAGCATTATAGATGGAGGGTCCCGCGAGGGTGGAGAGGGACCGAGCGAGCGCAGAGTTTAAAAGCCTAGGTCTCCTTTCAGTCCAGACAGCGCGCGGGATGCCATGTGGCTCCCGCCCTCGCAAGTGCATGTGCTTGCATCCCGTCATGTGACAGATGCCGTTGTTACTGGTGCAGACTGGCCTGAGTCCATGGACGTCCTGCGGGTCACCAGTGGCCAGAAATACACCGATGTCGCCAGGAAGCCCCATGCATGCACATATCGCTGACAAAAGCTTCGAAGCTACATTGAGGCAAGCCAGGCAAAGCCGCCAGCAAAGGAGGCCAGCTGCGGTTGCCTTGCGGCATCTCGACAAGGCATGGTACGCGAGAAAAGCAGCATTCACTGATTATCCTCGCCATCCTGTCGGCAAAACGAGAGAGACAGAATATGTTGGTTCGGGCTCGTGTGGCCTGACTACCACCGCGTACCGTTGGTGACATGAACAGTGCCATACACTCTCTCATGCGGCTGTGCGCTCGCAGCCGTCTCTCTAGCGGGGCACCGAGCGAAGCATCGGCCAGAGCGCTGGCTTCCCACATCCAGGTGGGGAGGCCGTCGCCAGCAAGCTCGGTGCCGATGGAGTCCAGCCGATCACCGACCATCGCGACTTTGCGTCCTTCGCCCAGCGCGGGGTGTCGCCGGGCCGAGGCACCGCGCGGCCCCACAGCAAGGCGGGCTCCAGCTCGCGAAGGCAGTGCCCCCCGCGCGGTAGCAACCCCGCGCTGTGAGATCGTGTCTGTCCGCTGGCCCAACTGCGTGGTCTTCTCGTGCCGCGCCGTGTTCCTGAGCTGATGCCAGCCCCCACGGCGTTGCACCTCGGTCTGGGACCTCCTTCCACTGGCCCGGTCCATACTCGCTCTCGAGTGTCTCGCCTGGTACGGCGAGGTCCGTCGCAACTGAAGGCTGTCGCAGGCGTGGCGCAGATTCCGCAGCAGCCTCAGGCAGTCGAAGTCCCACACCGACCGTCGAGGGTCGAGCTCCTACATGTTCTCGAGGAGCGGCCCCAGCCACAGCAGCCATTTCGAATCCAGCTTCAAACGCAGGTCGAACGCTCCAGTCTTGTCGGGAGCTAGCCGCTCCTGCGGGTGCACCAACCAGCCCCAGTGAGGACTGCCAGCACACGGCTTCACGCTCTCCCTGGGGCGCAGCCTGAGCAGGGAGGATGGCCTGAGGTAGGTGGACAGCGCCAGCGTCAGAAATAATGCCACCATACGCTGTCCCTGCAAAACCAGGCCATGCATGAGCGCAAGGTACAAGGAAGTGAACTACTGGACCAGACCCGCATCGATCGTCTCCATCGGCACCTCGAGAAAGTCCAGGCGGCCACAGCGGTCCTTCAGCTGCTCCGGCACTCGCTGGTATTGGGCCCTCACCTGCAGCGTCACCGTGCTGGCCTCGAGGTAGCCGTCGATCCGCACCCCGTCGCCTAGGGCCCGAGCTACGGCCGCACGGCCGCGCTTCACCCGCCTCGACAGCGTCTGCTGTCGCTTGGCGGCGTTGGCGCCCTCGGACTCGGTGGCAGTGCCGCTCGAGCTCGGCCCTGCTGACCGCGCCCGCCGCCCAGTGACGCGCCTTCGGGCCACGGCGCCCGTCGGCTCCCAAGCCTGCCCCAGCGCTGCTGCCTCCAGGACCGCGGCGATCCCCGCGGTCCGCGCAGGCGGCGCCACTTCCCGTGTGGGTTGGCGTCTTTGCGAGGCTAGCTCTCGGGTCAGCGCCTTCGCCGCCTGCGGCCCCTTCGGAGCGGTGCTGCGGCTCGCCAGTATGCGGAAGGACGTCCTGCTTACAGGCTGGTGGAGCAGATAAAAAGACTGGAGCCAAAATGCCGACAGACGGACGCGAGCCCGAAACATAATTGCGACTGTCAGACTCAAGTTCGCACTCATCGGCACTAACCCTGGAACCGAAACCAGCGTCTTACAGACATCAGACTCTCGTTCTCCACGCCGACAGCTCGGAGGGGCATCCAAGCGTGCACAGACACGAGAGGGGGTCGTTAAACATCCAAGGTCAGAAACATCCTCAGCCCCATCCACCGTAGACAGGAGGGGGAGAAGTAGCAAGCAAAGAGACAAGAATCAAGCGCGTCAGAATATTTGAAGGCTCTTCGCTCTCAGCCCGAGACCCCTCGTCGCCGCTGTTTAGCTCGATAGGGATCCATCGGGCGATTGCCCCGAGGTTTCGGCTCAAGAGGTACGCCGTGAACTTGCGAATGTGTCTAAGAATTGCAAAGCCCTTGCACCTACTCCTATCAAACGCCAGGGCCAATCCGAGAATGTCCACGAGCAAACCTTGCCTGGCGTTATGACCGAAACGTGTTTAGGCAACGCGTTTGAATGACTTCACGAGCGCTCGGGATTCTAGTATACCTATGTATCTCCAAGTACCCCGTCGAACGCCACGCCAGAGTTGATGGGCCATGAGCCTGGAGGGCACCTCTGTGAACTCGGGGTCCACCCTGTAGTCCCCCCTCGGCAACGTGTGTTCGGTCAGCTGCTTCTCCCCCTCGTCTACGGAGAGGACAACGTCTTCTTTCTCCCTCGCCACGAACTCCCCCAGACCCGCCGCGGTAAAGGCTGGGCGACGCGCCTCCACCCCCTCCTCCGTCTTGAACCGCCTCCTCTCACGGCAACGGCCCACTGCGGTAAAAGACTCGAGATCCCAAGGGCTCCCAGATATTCCGTATCCGCTTTCTGAAGCATCCGAACACTGCACCCACCGATCATATGGCAACCACCAATCCGAATCGATCATAGGAAGCAAGCCTCGGAATGCCAGCAGCTCCTCGCGACAGCTTTCCCAAAGAGGGGCTGCCTCTTTCAGCATTTTCGTGACAAACCTGTAACACGCATGGAATGCCGAGAGCACGGGCCTGCGGACAAGCCCTATGTAGGTACAATGGCCCAACAGCACTCGTAGGTCATTTCCTCGCACCTTTCGAAGCTGCAAAAGGCCAGTGATCCCCTGTCTCACTCCCCAGAACCTCTTCATCGAGGATCGAGTCTGGTAGCCCTTGCTGTCAAGTACCACCCCCCAATACATGCCATTACTCTGGACCTTGAGCCCTACCGCCTCGAACGCGTGGATCAGCTGGTCCCGACTGCGGCTGACGAGCTCTCCACTCTGGCCGATCACGCCCATGTTGTCCACGTAGACGTAGTGGTCGACCTGCTCGGTGCCACGCGCGAGGCGCAGCGCCAACGGCTTACCGAGGTCGCTCAGAGGAGTGCCATCCTTCAGACAGGGTGCAAACTGACACCAGAGCTCCGTCACGCTCTGGCAGAGGCACAGGCTCCACGTACACCCCGTCGTCAGCGCCTCAGGAATCGGGTAGACCACATCGTCGTAGCTCAACATGTGGCCGTCCAGCACGGTGCCCTGCAGGCCAGCATCTCCTGCCTTAAGCGCGGGAAGTCCGAAGAGCCGCTTCATCCAGGGCGGCAGCCGCATGCGGTGGAAGGCATCCTTCACGTCCGCCACCCCGACCGAGAACCCCACGTCCTGCAGCGTCGCCTGGTAGGCCGCCTGCAGGTGGCCGGATGCCCCGTCGATCTCCTCGAACTCAAAGGCTGAGCCCTTCCGCGGTCAAGAACAGGACGGACGGTGGGTCTATCAACCGAGCATTGCTTCTGCGGCAGTCCAGAATCACACGCGATGACGCCCCCCCCCCCCCCCCCCCCCCCCCCTTCTTCCACACAAAGAAGACGCCCACCGTCTCCAAGACCTGAAGCGTAAACGACACCAAGCCGCGCCCAGCAAGGTCCCTGGCGACATCGCGATAACGTCGGCTCCGTACCAACGATGGCTCGCTGAAGGGGATCCGTGGGCGTCGCTTCATTGCCTCAACCACTCCAGCATGGTCTCGCAACATGCGCTCGCCCTGCCGTTCCACAAACTGGCGCGCCCGTCCCCGAAGTAGCTCGCGAAGCGCTGGGGCCTCGGCTATAGCGTCAGGGAGCGACGGAAGCCCAGGGCGAAAAGGGGCAAGCACATCCTCAGGATGACCACCCAAGTACGGGGACCTCCCACGCATCAACTCTCACAAGGCTGAACACGGCGACTGCATCGAGACGCCACGCATCGGCTGCGCGATGTTGCCCACCTGCCCTTCGATGCGCTGCATGACGTCGAGCTGCATGGTAGAAGAGAGCTCCGTGGCAGACCCCACGTCAGCTCCCGCCAACCAATTAAGGCTCTGAGTGGCCTCGTGCGCAAATTGATCTCGAAGTTGCTGCCGACGCCGACGCCCTCGCTGACGTCCAGTTGCAGCCGAGCCCGCTGCCGCTTCCTTCTCAGGCAGAGGGGGGAGGTCGCGAGCTCCAGTCCCAGGTTCGAGCCCAGGTAGCCCCTCATGAGTGAAACTGCTGGGTGGGCCAAGCCCAGCAGTCAAGCCGACCGTCGTCATTGGCCGCCCCTCGACGCGGCCACGTCGAGGAGTTTCTTGGTCCTGCCCTTCGGGTTCCCAGAGTCGCCCTTGCGGTCGCCCATCTCGGTCCTTGGCTCCTCGGCAATCGTGGGCCCACGCACGCGGGCGCCCAAGTAATCCGCGTCCTCCTCTGCCCGTCGCGCCCCGAAACTGCGCGGCTCAGGCGCCGCCGCATCGCTCAGCCCCGATTCTCCAGTCAGATATCGCGCCGCGCGCCAATTGGCGCGAGCGCCCGGCACCGAGTGCGCGCCCATGATCACCTGGACTCGACGTGCCAGGCGCCCCATACATCGCAGAGCGCCCACGTTCACTTGGTCGCAGGTCCCCGCTAGCAGCAGCACGCGGCAGAGAATCTCCAGTTCATGGCAGATGCGGTCCTGACGACGCTCTACGCGGCGTTCCCGAACCCACTCCGCCATCCACCTCATGGGGCCCCCGCCGTTCCTGCACATCGCCTCTGCCAAGACCGCCGCCGACAGGTGGCCCTCAATCGGGTCATCAGCATACGACTCGGCCTTAATCTCGTTCACGGCGGTACGCCAATATTTGTGCCGTTCCCCTTGTCCATCAAAACCCACGTTCGAGGTACGAATATCGCCGGTGGCCTTCACCGCCGTCTGGGTCTCATGAACTAGAGGCCCACTGGCAGCATCCGCACCTCCGAGGCCCAGGCGGCCCTTCGCAGCTTCTTCGATCGCGCCCCCCCCCCACCCCCAGGCGGGGCGCGTGTCCCCAACGCATTCTGCAGACGGCTGAGCTGCTCTCCTGCACGATGGGGCGCATGGCCGATCGGTATCCTCATCACTCTGCAGACCTCCTGACCGACGTACTTCAGGCCGTGGCTCCCCGCGGGGGTCTCTCCGACATGGATCTTGACCTCTTCCCCGATCGCGTGGCCTCCCCCTGACTCCAGCCTCGTATCATCCGTGTCGCCACGCATCGCGGAGACCAGCTCGCCTCGGCGCCCTCGCTGTTCATAGTGAAGTGCGGCCAGTCAGATTCCTCCTGACCTCGCGCTGCCTCAATGTCATGGCACCCACGGCCGTCGGCACAGATCGCCTCGATCGAGGGGAGCTCAGAGAACTTGCGCGGCCTCCTGCCTCCGCGCGGCGGGTAGCCCACCCCAGGCAGTGGCCGAGAGCTGCTTGGCCCATGCTCGGGGTCACCTCCGCCGAGCTGTTCCTGCCGGAGGTCGCCGTCGGACGAGAGGACCCACCACATACTTTATTCAACGGCGTTGCCGCTGGCGTAGGTCCGTCGCGATGGCCAGATCAAAACTCTCTCGTGGTACACTATGTCGTCGCTGTAACTCTCGCGGGCCCTCGGGCCCACGGGGGCTCTATTGCAGTAGCCCTGCCCCCCCGCGCCGAGGCGCAACGGCGCGCCCTTTCCTGTCATCGGCCTCGCCCTGAGCCGCGGCGCGGCGTCGCTCTGCACGCCAACCCCAGGCCGCGCCGCCCACCAGCTGGCGCAGCAGCCACCAGGGCGGCCCCGCACTCACAGCGGGCCCCCGAGGCTCCTCGGGCGCTGGGCACACGGGCGCCTCCACCACAGGGCAGCTCGGCGGCTCCCAGTGGCTCCGCCAACTCCTCCGAGGCCCGCGGAGGAGGAGGAGGCGGCGGACCCGCCGCCGCAGCGCGATCCAGCTCCGCCAGCGCCAGCCAGGGAGATCGGTCCACGCTTTCGAGCCCGAGGTGGGCCAGCTGTAGCCAGGGAGCCAGCCACAGAAGCAAATTCGGAGTGGCGTGAACCATGCCTCCTCGAACCAAGTCGGCTTCGGAGACGCAGCTGCAAGAA